CTGCTCAAACTTTGTTTCTAACTTACTTTCATCATCTCCTGTCGCGTTTTCGAACGCAACACATAATTCGCATCTGTCTTTTTTGGGTACAAAAAATCCAAGATTAAACTCACTGTTGAATATTCGAGAATACATCACCAAATTAGCGAAAGGGAGATTTGCATCTCGACATTGTTGCATGTAGTCCTTATGAAAGTCAGTCAAAGTTTTGCCACCACTGATGAATTCGCGACTGGTTTGTTGTCTTAGATAATGAATTTCAATTCTTGGAATCGATCGGATATAATCCCTTACACCATCCTTTATCGAAGTATGGCTTTATGATTCCGATGTTTACCTCTCATATCTTCTTCTAAAAAAAACCCCTTCCTAGCTTTAGCGATAACAGTCCTGATAACTCTGTCATTAATGTCTAGCGTTGACCTGAACATTTTTTTACAAATTCGCCTTAACTTGCCGTCAACCTCGAAATAAAAGGCATGGTTATTGCCCCTTCCTGTAGGTGTCGTAGTGTATCGGTATTTAACTGTAATTTGCTTTATGTGCTTGTCAATAGAGAATCTTTATTTCTCAATATCACCCAGAGCCCAATAGTGTTTAAATAACTGTTTTCGTTTTTCCTCTGTCATAAACGAATTGCATTTAAGTCTGCATTTGTTATCACAGGCGGGTTAGCATTCTTTGGCACGAATAGTTTTATCATGGCGTGTTTTGTAGGCCATTCCCAAATTTCTCAAACGCTTAATTTGGTTTTGTTTCCACTGTTGAGGCTCAGCTGATCGCTTTCGTTTTTTTTATCTGTTCTGGGGTTTCGTTGATATTATTTTCAGGAACTGTGGCTTCACGGTTGTATATTGACGTTTCACCATTTATAGGATGCTGCGACTCATCGTCAGAATCGGATGATGAACTCGAAGTAGACGATAACGAACCTGATGAACAGGAAGACGATGATGTAGACGTAGAGTTGAAATTTGGATCTTTCACGGAATCATCAGAATCGAAGTCACCATCTTCATCCGAAGAGTTCATTAGAGTTGTTCTAGGTCTCAGAATTGAAATTGAACGGCCTGCAAAGCTGACAGGCTCAGTTCCAGATGACTCTTCATTGTGAGAATTCGAAGAACTCGTTGTCAGTTCGCCATCATTTAAGTTCTCAGCACCTGAAAACAATATAGATGAGTTGGTTTTTCATATCGCTTCATTGATGTATATTTATGTTTTATTTATGTATCATGGATGAATGAAGACGATTTATTATTATTATTATTATTATATACCAAATTGAAATCAAGTACCTAATCGACGCACTGAGCAAATGGGTAAATAGCGAGGTGAATAGGCTACATAGGTAGGTACTTACAATTTTGTTCAGTATTCGGTTCATTTGGTAGATCTCCATCGTGAGTCATTCGTACACAAGAAATAGTTGGTCTCAGACTGTCGACGACATCAATCCCAGAAACTAAAATATGGAATAATAAGTATTTCGTATTAGGTACCCAATTATGATAAATTCCTAAAACGATGCAGTTAGCGATCAGGTGAATATGCTACCTGAGTATGTACTTACAATTTCGTTGAGTGATAGGGTCATTTGGTTGGTCTTCATATTGAGTGATTGGGAAATAAGAAGTAGGTTTTGGATTTCCGGCATCATTTAAAACCTCGAAACCTGAAATAATATACTTGAATTGAGTATATATCCTATATTATATCACTGCTTAATGAAGTAAGTGAATCGGTGAATCGGTGAGTACTTACGATCTTATTCTATATTCGCCTTGTTGATTTTATTTTCTTTGTTGTCTTCAGGTGTCGATACCGTTTTACACAATTTGAGTATTAATGCAGCCCTGGAAGTCATAGTTTCCTGAAAGCAATGATAATACAATTTCTCAGTTATTAAATTTATTAATTGTTATTCTTGAAAACTGCACCATTGCAAATTGATACAATATAAATGTACATTCAACTACAATTTGATCGGCTAAAATGACACAACATGAAAGAGAACCAGCAAACGCACCAGTAACGTGCGATAAAACTGACACATTTTTGAATGCGACTGTTCATTAGACATAATTTCAGGGAATTCTCTAAAACGTTTGTCAAAAATAGACACAATTCAAAACAAAGACACTCTCTGAGCAAATAAGAATCGTTTCGAAATTCACCTTGATCAAATGAACCGACACAATTCAAAAAGTGTCTCTTCACAATACACACTGTACACGTCTGCTCTGCACCAACTCGGAAGTGACACTGTCTGTGAGGCGATCGTTCATAATTCCGTTCATGAAAAAAGACACAAACGCAATCTCTTGGCGAGTTTACGAGGTATCAATATGACGCTTTCTGAGATGATAGATAAATATATTTGATGTACGTTTTTGCATAAATCAGCATTTTCGTGATTTTCGATTTGTGACAGTCTTTTAGCGGGGGTGCGATATTTATTACTTATTAATTATGTTGATAATTCTTATTGTATATTGGTTTTGTGACACGTCCAAGCACTTCTTTTTATAACTGGTTTTCGCCACTCATGGCTACTATCCAACAAAAAGTTTGTGTTTCCGTGTTTTCTATATATATTGAGGGATGGGGTGTTTTGTTCGCTTACCGTTACTACTAGGCTCGGATCAGGCCGAGTCTTAATGTGGAAGCATTTGTGAAGGGTCACTACGGTTAAAAACAGTCTCTTATAACTCAAAGTGAGTTATCGAGTGCTGTCCTTGCCATACCTTGCTTTCCACACTTAGACTCGCAGACAAGATCAAACTGCTGGGCTTTGGGGCCTTATAGTCGACTGAACGATTCCAGAGATTTTCAGAGGGCTTCTGATTTGTTATAAATATGTAACAACTATTAAACTGTAATGCGGCCCATTCAAAAGCAATTTGTCTGGCGTGTTGGCAGCTGGCAAATCGCTCGATACAATTTCGCCACACACATACGTTTCATATACAGTATGATGCAGATGTATGGAATAAATTCATTTCAAAATAAGACGACTCCCAAAAAAAATCCAAAAACTAAAGTTCAAAACTTTTTTATTGATGTATTTTTTCAACTATACGACCCTTCGATGTTCAATTCTCAGTAGCAGACCTCTGCAAGATTCAGTTAACCAAATGATAAACCATTTCAATTGCAATCTGATCATGCAAAATTTTGACTGTTGGATAGACGATCGGTAGACCTTTCAAACGAGGTGTCACATGATTTTAATATTCTTCATTGTGCTTTTTAGATGATTTACTCATCACAGGCAAAAATGATATTGAGCATTATCAGAGGTTAAATGAGGTCTTGAAACGTCTTCAAGATTGTGGGCTTAGAGTTAGAGAAGAAAAATGTGCATTTTTTCAAGATTCGGTGATATATATGGGTCACAAAATTGACAAAACCGGTCTACATAAGTCTAACGAGAGGGTCAATGCCATCAAACAATGCCCTAGGCCCCATAACGTCAATGAATTAAAATCATTCCTCGGAATGGCAAATTATTATTGCAAATTTGTGCAAAACGCTTCTATGATTTTGCAACCTTTATATAATTTGTTGAAGAAGGGAATGGAGTGGCAGTGGACAATAGAATGCCAAAACAGTTTTGAGACCATAAAAAAAATGCTTATGTCACCCACAATATTGGCACACTATGATCCGAATGTCCCATTGAAATTGACAGTTGACGCTTCAAATTTTGCCATTTGCGCGGTGATTAGCCATATTTATGGGGGAACCACAGAACGTCCTATAGCATTCGCTTCCCGAATGCTATCGTCAGCGGAAGTGAAATATTCCCAAATAGAAAAAGAGGGATTAGCTATCATTTTTGGCGTCAAACATTTTTTTCAATATCTATATGGGAGAAAATTCCTTCTTTATTCTGACCATAAGCCGTTATTGACGATCTTTGGAGAAAATAAAAGTCTGCCCGTTTTCGCAGCAAACAGATTGCAGCGTTGGGCCCACATAATATCGGCATTCGAATATGAGATTAGATACCTTCTATCAAACAAAAACACTGCCGATTATCTTTCACGAATACGAATCACAAATTCCGAAAACGGTAGTCAAAATAAATTTATTCACTATAATGAGGATTTTGATGGTTTATCATATTTGCATTTCCTACAAAATGAAAACTTAATAAAATAAAAATAAATTTTTCTCAAATCAAACAAGATATCTAACAGTAGACTTTCGGACCATCATGTTATTTTGTTGTTTTTACTTCTTTTGATTTTTGCAGAGGCCTCAGTTATATCTATTAGACCTCTCGTAATTCTACTTACAGTCATATCTATATCTTCAACATTTTCTATCCTTGTTTGGTTTAGTTGTGCACCTAACTCTAATGCCATCCTGTCCAATATATTTTTATTAATCACATTAACGTTGTAAATTCTTTCATTGGATAATTCCAATTCACTATTTATTCCATATTTCATATTAAATGTTATCAATCTATGGTCACTCTGCAACGCTCCCTCGATCACTTGCCAGTTAAAAATTGTTCTTGATAGATTTCTGCTACTTATTGTGAGATCAATATTTGATTCTCCATTTACTGTAGAAAATGTAGATGGTTGGTTCGGTTTATTTATTATTATCAAATTACTTTGCACCATCATGTTCTCTACTTCAATGCCTCTTCGGTCCGTTGCTGCAGAGTGCCATACCTGAGATTATGCATTAAAATCTCCACATATAAGAATTTGTTCATTTCGCTTGCTTCTAATGACCTCCATCATTCTGTCCAAATTTTGTGCTAACACATTTTGATCATTTGGAGGGCAGTATGTATTTATTATTAACATACTCTGGTTTCTAGTTCTTATTCTAGCCACGACGAAATATGGGTCCATATATTGTGATAGACCTAACAAGTCTAATCCTGGATTGGAAATTACAATTGCTGCCTGAGGCTTATCATTTTATATTTGCTGAAGCCCGGAATGACATACTTTTGTTCATTGTTTCTACAGCTGTAAGGCTCCTGAAATAAGCCCAAAACTCTTATGTTCCACCAATTGTCTTGCTTCAGTCGTTGCTGTTCTTGAATTCTGTAAATTTGCTTGCCCAAATTTTATTATTAAGTTATGGACCATAATCAGTATTATTGATATACGATTGCAGTCTTCTTGTATATTTTGGGCAATTCGTATCGTGCGCCTCATGATTTACATTAGCCTCCTTGCTCAATTTACAATTTATACATACTGGATCTTCCCTGCTTTTGCAGTTTTTGGCGTCATGCTCGCCTGTGCAGTAACCACATGTTATATTTCTTCTACAATTTGCAGCCATATGACCATAGTTTTGGCAGTTATAACACGTTAGCAATCTAATGTGATCTCTCACATTGCAGGCGTTCCAATCATAAAACAGTTCACCTCTTTTAAGTATTATATCTCGTATTTTATAATTGCACTCTATTACCCAAGTAACTGTGGTCTCATTTCGTCTGCCATATTTAAATAGTGCTTTGACCCTAGTTGTATCCTCTGGATCTAATTCCAGATCTTCATTTATTTTTGAGCCAACTATTTCTGCTGTCCATTCTGCAGGGACCCCCATTATTGCCAATCTAGGCTTAAATTTTTCTGGCTTTTCTGCTGTCAAGCCTGCCGCATTTAGTGCATGCTCATTCACTTGGGCCAGTGATGTGTTTATTTTCACCCCGTTTTTACTTATAGGTAGAAGTTTTTCAGGTTTAACGCCAACATCAACTGTTCTCAATTTCTTAGGAATTTTTAATGTTTCCTCACTACTCTTGATATTATTATTATCTTTCTTTGGATATATCAAAATAACTTGGTCCTTTGAAGGGATCGTCGTGTTGCCTTTGCCCAAAGGTATTTTGGTTGTGCTTGAGGGAGTTGATGCCACCGTTGCATAACTATTTTTATTGCTTATATTTTGGTTCTGTATCACATTTATATCATTAATTTTCACCTTTATATCGTTTAGGATATCAACTACCTTATCCTCATTTTCTTTTACTTTCAACTGTGAGAATATTTCTGTAAATGCCTCAGTCATTTTCTCTAGCCCTTCTTGTACTATCTTTTTCTTATTGGCTGATTCTTTAGATACACTTGAGAATGAAAATATCTGTTCCTTGGCTTGCGAGTATAACTTGAGGCATCTTTTTGTCGAGCTTTGTTGAGGCTCGACTACTTGTCTACCTAAGGTTTGTGATCGACATATTATATAACTATGCACCGAAGTGCCTCCTTCACTTGCGACCTGAGCTGCCGCCAATTCTTCAACTGAGGCATTGCTGCCTTCTTCCTCTTAGTCTATTAAGACTTGAAATTTATTATTATCATCTTCAGTTACCATCTTGTTCCCATGAAAATGCTGAGAAATAAAGATTCGCCTCTACAGAGCTACATCCAAGTGTCGCCAATTCTTGGACTAATTGTTAAAAACACCATCACCCCGGTGCCCGGTTCATGCCCTCGGCACAACCAACCTTAACATTGGGAATTTTTTATTGAGGTTTATTCCTCTTATTATTGTTTGAGCCGTCCTTAGCTTCACTGCTCATCCTCGACCTTACCGGCAAGGGTGACCCTACCAGGAGCTTAAGCTCCCGCCGGCATTGCTCTCGGAATCATCGCAGCTACTGGTTCCCCCCACCACGAAAAGGTCTCACGGCTCCTTGGGGGATATGGGAGAGACTATAATTATAGGTATCTCGCGCACCTCGTCTATATCACAAAAAAAGTGTGGAAAAAAGTAGTTTTCAAGTTCTCGAATTTTCGAAACGCCGGTATGATTCGCTATCAGTGAACCTCCATCATCGTGTGGTCCATTAACTATTTATTTCGGATTCCTATAGTGAGTGCTTTTGGTCAGAAAGTGCAAATACCAGGTTTCCTGATATTTGGAGATTGTGCCTGTATTCATTATAGGTGAGTTTTTTGATTTTTGTACAGCCTCATTAACTAGTATTAGGATTTGCACGTGATTTCGGCAAAGTCGTAGTCGTAGGGATTCCACCAACGCATCACCTGTAATAAAATACTCTTGATCCAGAACCCCGTAGCAGGACTTTCATTTCAACCCCTGAGATCAACCCCGTTTCGTAACAAACGAAAGGCTGAGTGAAATCCGGACAAGTCAATGTTGGTGCCTCGGTAAGTCAGGCTTTCAGAAACTCAAAGGCGGTATCCTGAGCTTCTGCCCATTTCCAACGGTTACCTTTCTTCAGCAACTTGGTCAGTAGTGCCACTTTCCCGGAAAAGTTAAGAATAAATCTCCTATACCAGGAAGCCATCCCTAGAAACTGTCTGAGTTTTCTTAAGCCGGGATCCCACGGCGTGTCTAGTGGCACTCCTCGCTCCAGAGTTGCCAGTCGAGGTTGACGCAACGAAATGTGGTCGGGCCGTTCCCACGGCGCGCGTAGGATCGCAGTTAGGAAGTGGACACGCTGGAGTTTTAAGTCATTTGTACGCCGGCAGTGTTGGCGGTAAAAAGTAATATAATTTGAGTTATTCATTTCATTATTTGATTTAATTTCACGTGAAGATGAACCGTGATAGGAGACGTCTTGTTGCTGCCGCAGCCTATTATTTTATATTATTAGGAACTTACAGGATGGCACGAGGACAAAAACGAAAACAAAGAAGATGTTGGAGAATGTCTATGTACAAAAATCGAGATAGGTAAGTACATGAAATTGTTTTCAGGCTTGGAATAATACACATGATCTGACAGTCATCAAATGATTTTTCTATAAGTAATTCGTTTCCTTTTAATTATTTGTAGGTACAGTGCCACAAACATGTTGGCAGATTTTCGCCAAGAGCCCTCAGGCTATTTCGAAAACTTTTGTAGAATATCGGCTATTGATTTTGAGAAGTTATTGAACAAAATAGGACCTGTAATCGCCAGAAAGAATACAAACATGAGAGACAGCATACCAATACAAGAAAGGTTGGCGGTTACACTAAGGTTCTTAGCTACTGGAGACAGTTTTAAAAGCCTGTCATACTTGTTCAAGTTTTCACCTCAAACCGTTTCCCGATGTGTTGAAGATGTTTGCAGAGCGCTAATAAATGAATTAAAAGATGAAATAAAGGTAAGGCGATTTATTCATATAAGAGTAATAAAAAACACATTTTTTTGTCATATTTGTCAATAAAGATATCTTTAAAGTCACATTTTACAATCAGTAGTCTTCATAAGTGTCGGCATTCGAGTCTCCAGGACTATCAACTTCAGCACTAAAGTAGTTAGAGAAGCTTTGTCTTGTTGCAGCAGATGTCGAGGGTAATGTAGTTGTTGAGTGTTCTAAGTAATTCACAGCAGATGGGGACGAAAATGGCAATACGGTTGTCTGAACTTGTTGGGATGTTGGCGCAAGAGATGAAGAGGAAGGTGATGTTGTGGTGAAAGAAAAATTGTTTGAACGTATTGAGTGTTGTGATGAAGCGGATGACAAAGGTCTGCTTAACGTGGGTTGAAAAACCGGTTCAAAATTAACTTGCTGATAGTGACTGGAGTTGTGAGGAAAAGGAGCTGTTGACTGAATTGGAACGTTTTGAAGATGCACGTGGCCAAAATGCTGTTGATAAGTTTCAGTGTGTCTGTGCTTTAAACGATAAACTAATAAGTCAATCTCAATCATTGCCATTTCTCTAGTATCTGCATCAAGGGCTCTCAGTTTTGTAGCAAGTAGGTCTCCGTACAAGGAACACTGATCTGGAGGGGACATCTGCGTGTCTGTAACATTTTTGAAGACCTTATAAGCTTCGTCCATCCTTTTGTCAATATCTGGTAGCAGGTGAATTTTTCTTTTTGCGCTCTTCGCTTTTGGAGGTTGCAACTGGCTTCCATTTGCAATTTCTTCAGTGACAGTCACTTCTTCTGACTCTTTTCCGTCAGTATTGTCGTTGTCTTCTGTACGTCCTTCATCTTGTGACATCTGAAATAATAGGAATACATATTAGACATATATATATATACTGTGTATATATCTACTGACATCTCCTATACATTGTGTAATGTCTTTAAGGGAATATAAAGTTATTATTATTATTATTAGTATAGCCACAAAGGTATAGGTCATATTGCCGAAATAGGTCGTAAAGAATTACAGTCATAGTGGAAATTAGACAAAAGTTATTTCTTTATCCCATATTCAAATTTTTATTTACCAAGAAGCTTCCTCATTGAAAAAAAAAAATTCTTAAAATATGTTTTTTGGTTTCAGCTACCGGAAACTGAAAACGAATGGCGTAAAATTTCCGAAGAATTTAAGAGCAGATGGAACTTTCCCAATTGTCTGGGAGCCATAGACGGAAAACACATAATCATTCAGTCACCCCTGCATAGTGGCACAGAATTTTATAACTATAAAGGCACTTTCAGTGTAGTACTAATGGCTGTAGTTACTGCTAACTACGAATTTACATACGTTGATATTGGATGTCAAGGTCGCATTAGTGATGGTGGTGTGTTTCGAAATACGTCTTTCTATGATAAACTCAGCCAAAATCAGTTAATGCTTCCTGCAGATAAACCATTGACCAACGAAGGCGAACCTTTACCGTACGTATTTTTAGCGGATGACGCGTTTGCTCTAACAACTCGTATGCTAAAACCATACCCTGGGGTATACAACAGAGGTTCCCAAGAAAGAATATTTAATTATCGGCTGTCCCGGGCACGTAGAGTTGTAGAAAACGTTTTCGGCATACTGTCATCCGTGTTCAGAATTTTTAGGAAGCCGATATTACTTGAACCTTCACGGGTAACTGAAATTACGATGACATGTGTTTTACTTCATAACTTTTTACGCAAAAGTCGAACATCTAAATCAAGGTATATGCCACCTGAATGTCTCGATTCTGAAGATGCATGCTTGTTTACTCCCGGCACTTGGAGAGATGAACAAAACATGACTTCCTTTCTGCCGTTAAAAAAAATTGCAAGAAAACCAGCACAAGATGGAAAAATACTCAGACATTCTTACGCTCAATATTTTGCAACGACAGGAGCTGTACCTTGGCAAAACAAAGTGTAGTGTAGTGTAGAACTCTTCCAGTTTAGGAGATAGCAATGGTGGAACTACTCAAAAGTAAAACTCTATATAAAATTGGCATTTGAACGCAAAGTTTTGTTTACTTTTACTGAAGAGATATAAATTAAATAATTTTGAGTTCAAAAGGGCTTGTTCATTCAATATGTACTCACCTCTGAATCTTTCGTTTGTATGGGTAAATAAACTCCTTGCAAAAAGCGGTGCATGAAGTCGAAGGCGAACCACTCTGGTTTGAACACTTCATCGGTGCCACTACCCGTTTTTGATGATGCTTTCACTTTCTGTAACAGTTTCCGCAAGGTTCCCATCAATGTCTCTTTCTTTTTCTTCAATTCTGCTATTGAACATTTTATGGACATTTTCTCTTCAATTCTCTTCCAGGCATCATGAATTAAATTTCTGTTCTTATGGTTTGGATCCCGAGGGTTCCAAATACTAGATTCTTCTTCATATAGGGATAAAAATTCTAACACCACTTCGTTCGACCACTCCATGGTGAAAGTTAGCACGGCACTGACAGTACCACGTGCCTAGCCACGCCGTTGGAGCGGTATACAGGTCGTGAGCGCCATCGTCCGAGCTCCTTTGAACCGTGTTCATTTACCGACATTCGACGGGACTCACCGCGCCGACCGAAGATTGCCAAGCCTGCCCTATCCGACGGCGCGGGAACTGGCAAGTTTGGCGCGAAGAGTGCCACTCCACACGCCGTGGGATCCCGGCTTTAGGGTGTTTGGGGCGGGCCACTGGACAATAGACTCTATTTCAGGCATGTGCAACCTCGACAGGACTAAGGGCCGGATTAGAAATTAGAAAGATTATGCGGGCCGAAGTTCTTTGGGATGTGAATATATGGCAATGTATATAAATCAATACATCTTAATAAGTTTAAACTCTTTATACCTTCATATAAAAACTCATAATAACATTTATGGAAATATAAAATAAAATATAAAATTCCTTAACTTGAATAAAAAGAAAGCACTTTTCAATGCGATGGTTACGACTTCATAGTTGACACAAGATAGTCAATATTCGGGGATACTGCGGACGTTGAAACTCGCAACGTGTTTTGCAGGTGCGCATCTGTAATACGCGTCCTGGTCTTGGATTTCACAAACTTCATCCTTGAGAGAAGTTGCTCACATTTATAGGTGCTTCCAAATAGCATAACTTTTTTCTGAATGAAAGCTGTCAGGTTTGGAAACTTGTCACGGGGGAAATAATGTTTATAGAAGTCTATTACGGTAATATCCTTGAATTTTGTCTTCTGAACGAGGTTCTCTTGCAGTTCGATTAATTCCATTTGCAAAGAAAGTGGAGCTAGTTCGACTTCAACATCAAAAGGAGAAGAGAAAATTCTCAAGTTTGCTTCTTGGATTTTAAAATCACAGAACCTACTGTCGCATTCTTGATTCAACGATTTTAACTCATTCGCAAACAACTTGCAATCAAAATAATTTTTGTGGTTCGCAAGTGTGGGAAATTTGTTAGTGTTGCCTCCCCTTAATTTGCTTTCCCAGAGTCGTAGCTTATTCTGAAATGATTTGATGTGTCCATAAAGCTCATGAATCAACTGGTCCTGCGTTTGTAACTTAGTATTGAGTTCATTAAGATAAGTTGTTACGTCGACAAGAAATGCAAGATCACATAGCCAGGGTTTGCTTTCTAGCTCCCGAATAGGTTTTCCTTTCATATCCATGAAAATGGATACCTCATCTTTCAAATCATAAAAGCGCTTCAACATCTTCCCCTTACTCAGCCAACGCACTTCGCGGTAAAATGTGAGATCTTCATGCTCGGAATGGACGTCATCCAGAAATTCTTGAAATTGGCGGTGATTTAGCGATTCCGACTTGATGAAATTTATGCAAGAAACTATCGTGCCCATCACTTGTGCGAACTTAATTGATTTTGCACACAAATTCTGCTGGTGTATTATGCAGTGAAATATGGACAAATCTTCAATATCGATGTTGTTATGAGATAACTCTGATTTTATAGGTGCAACAACTCCTTTTTTTGATCCAATCATTGATGGAGCCCCATCGGTAGATATTCCGCTCAGCTCTTCCCACTTCAGGTCGAATCGAGTAAATGCCTTTTTTACTTCCTGGAAAATGTCTTCACCCCTTGTTGTATCCTTCATTGGTTGGAGAGCTAGCAATTCTTCCGTACAATTCAAATTGGCATCAACTCCGCGGATGAATATAGCTAACTGAGCGGCATCAGTGGTGTCTGTGCTCTCATCAAAAGCAATGGAAAATGCTTCAAATTGTGAAGCGATTTTCGTAATGGTTGATTTTATATCACTGGCCATGTCGTCGATACGTCTGGTCACTGTTCAATGAGAAAGACTTATCTTTTCATATTCATTGATTTCCTCAGGACAAAGCACTTTAGTGACAGCAGTAAGGCAATCCTTGACAAATTCGCCTTCGGAATATAGTTTTGAGTGCTTCGCAATTTTTTCGCTGACAATAAAGCTTGCGCGAACAATGTTGTTAGCAACATCATCATGTTTGCGGAACAGCATCTGTTGTGAAGATAGGCATTTTTTCAAATCTTGTATCTTATCTATTCTCAGATGACCTTTGTAACAGTCGTAACTAGCGTGTTTTGCAAGGGGTTTTGAAATTACTTAGTGACTGGACGCCAGAATTTTTTGTTTACTGAATAGGATAAAAATTCAAAGTTCCTATGAATCAAAAAAAAGATTAATTTCCTTCCTACAATGGAACAATAAAACAATTACTCAATGTATATACAATTTACTAAATTATATGAGCAATATACATAGTTTGATGAAAGATTAATATACAAGATTGCATGAGTGTTCTCATATGTGATGAATGAATGGTGTCAAGCATAAATGATAAGCCAAGATAACAATTATAACTTGAAATCAAATTCTAGCATATTTTCTGCTATAACAAAAGAAACAACTCTATAGTGTCGCTGCTGAATCTGTTGGTGTTATGTTTGGAGAATATCTTAGTTGCTGGAGTTCTTCCCAAAACTAGGAACCTAGATCTATCGTAACTCCTTAGGTATATTATGTAATCAGCTTGACATACACCAACCAGACTTCAAATGTTCGACCTCAACTCAGGAACGTGGATGTTTCAGGATCGTCGTAGTTGTCATTAATAGCATGAAAAACAATCAAGAATATTAGATTTCTGATAAACTTTTGTTGTTATAGAATTACAACTTGGCTTTATCCTTTGACAAACCTATATGCTGATGTAAAAAAATACAATGTAGAAGAAAGAAATGTTAAAGATAATAGAGGCTGATTATTTTCAAGATACTGAAAATCACTCTTTAGCATGCAAGCCAAAATTAAATGAGTGACCCAATAAATGTTTGGATTAACAATTTTTAATCAGCTCTAATTTCAAATTGAACCTATGAATTGATTAACTAAAATTGATGGTCTTATATCTAGATGATGTAACAATTCTTAATCAACACGTGTTGAGTGAGCTAGTCATTCATTTCTGAATTTCATGAAAGGATAATCAAAAATTAGTATAGAGAAAATTAGAATCTGAAATTGATTCTGAAATCGACAGGTATAAAGTAGATATCAAATATTTAAATTCCCAATATTTGAAGTAAAGTAAATATATTTCAAGAGAAAAGATTCATATGGTTGCTACAAGAAGTTACTCAATGAATTTCCAGATAAAAGATTATTCAATGAATTTCTAAGATAACAGATCAACTTATGATCTCAAATAATAGATCTGTCAGTGGCTTCAAGTAAAAGATATCACTCAGTGTACGTAGTATGATTCCTAGGTAATTGCTTTAATTGTTATTGTACACGCAAATTTTTGACTGCGAAATTTAGCAGCATGGCGGCTTGAGTGAATGTTCACAAATTTTTCAAAGGTTCAATCTTTGATTATCGTTGTAATCATTTTCAATTTTCGATGAATGTTAATTTCCTAGGAGGAAGCATTGCTCGAATATCCAGTGGCGTAGCAGATTGATGTGTTCATCGTTTTTTGATTACTACAAATGTTGATCTTTAAGAATTGAGTGCGTTTTCGTTTTCACAGCACTTGGTCTTCAAACCCTGTACAAATCCAAGGAATTTACAAATTAATTGTACAGCAAGGAAGTCAGAGTTGATATACCTACACGTTTAGTGAGAATTTTACTGGAAACCAGTCTAATCAATTGGTGGCCTGGAAATCATCGATGGAATCAGTTCAGGTGAGTACCGAAAACACATGTTATTTTCTATATGAATAAATTTGAATGTGTGCATTTCAACTCACCTGAATCTGTTTTCAAGATCACCAGGTTTCCAATAAAAGAAAGATCAAAATTTGCTATATTTTCCTGTATAGAAATATCTATCTCAAAATTGTCTATCTGAGATAAATATATATCTTATCTTAACTCATCTTAACTTATCTCAACTTATCTTTTGTGATCAATCATAGTATTGATCATGAGTCCACATCAAGGACATATTTATCTTCATTATCTTATAGTATCTTGCTACTGTTCCATTGAAAATATTCAAAAGGAATATTCTCAGATGAATTATGAACATACAAAAATGGATATATATTTATATAAAGCAATACATTGAGAATTCGCATTCTCTATGTGATGAGAATATTTACTCTTTTTCAGTTAATTCAATAGAAAACAACTACTTTCCTGGCTATATGCCACGACGAACATTGAATTATATCTATTGAACACACACGATAAGAGTTTGAAAATAAAATATAAATATTTCTGAAATATTTATATTTTATTTTCAAACTCTTATCGTGTGTGTTCAATAGATATAATTCAATGTTCGTCGTGGCATATAGCCAGGAAAGTAGTTGTTTTCTATTGAATTAACTGAAAAAGAGTAAATATTCTCATCACATAGAGAATGCGAATTCTCAATGTATTGCTTTATATAAATATATATCCATTTTTGTATGTTCATAATTCATCTGAGAATATTCCTTTTCAACACTTTCATACCCAATCAGGGGGTTCAAACTTGAACGATGGAAACTTGTGATTTTTATAGACCTCTAATCGCAGATTCGTGATAGAGTCTCAATTCAGAATTCATTTCCACGCCCTGTATGATGAATGTCAATTTATCATACACCCAAAAGCGAAAATATTCAAACTTCTTAATCAATTATATATTATATATATCTTGGAAAAAATTATGTAACGACAAAGTGTCGTTTTTGATTGCCCAGGCTATTTCAGCAGAATAGGGTTGTGGTTCTTTGGACTGCCTTGCCAGTTTCTGATTTGTTTTATTGTGTCAAGCAAGGGGTTTTGAAATCACTTAGTGACTGGACGCCAGAATTTTTTGTTTACTGAATAGGATAAAAATTCAAAGTTCCTATGAATCAAAAAAAAGATTAATTTCCTTCCTACAATGGAACAATAAAACAATTACTCAATGTATATACAATTTACTAAATTATATGAGCAATATACATAGATTGATGAA